TCTGATTAATCCATCATTAATTGGGTCCAAAAATATTCTTATTGCCACTAATGTGGTATCATCACAAAATACTGTTAGTGAACCATCAAATGCATCGAAAAGAAAACGAGAAGATGATGATGATGCTGATGATGATGATGATGATGACTGTGATAATTTGTAATTTAGCCTTGATGCATGTAACTTGTATTCTTGGTTTTGTAATCCATTGTATTTAAACGGGCATGCTTAATGTTTTCAAGTTGTGTCAGAAAAGTTAATTAGCATTTAATGAGTAAATAGAATACTTTTCATTTGAGATGTCGTTTGTTTAATAAGTTGCGACTTTTCAGCAGCCTCTAAGTGTAAAAAATAAAGCTTTCATTCATCAGTTTGATTGTTGGTACTTTAGAAATTCTGTTTTCAGAAGCAGTTTCCCCTATGGTATCACCAGCAGTAGCAACAAGTTGACATTGTTGCAGTTTTGTTACCAATAGATGTCACCTCTATTGTCACATGTTTGGATAATAGTGGAATTTGGTATATAAGTCATTGTGATAAGTTCATTCAGATTTTTGAAGTACAACCACACCTCCTTTTGAGAGACCTCTCAATCAGTATTTTTATTCGTAGTGAATCATCTGGATTTACTTTCCTGAGTTGCCCAACTTCTTCCTAGGTTCCATTTTTTTTTATGTTTTTGGTTATATTCATAAAGACTCTCAGTACCTCCCACTGTCTCCCTTCTTTAACCCCCATTTTCTCAGTATCCCTTTTTGCATGTCAATTTAGAGCACCTTTTTTGCCATATTCTTGATACTCTTTTAAGTCAGTAATCTGTATTTTTAGTCCAGGTCTGACATTTAGCTGTAGTTTCTTAAAACAGATCTTTATTTTCCTTTGTACAAAGCTTAGAATTCTCCATGTTGTATCTATATGAAATGTGATTTTATTCCTTACTGTTGAATATTTGCTGTTTTGACAAGTGATTTCAGAGTCACATTCAGTATGTCAGTTTGTTTTCTAGTTCTAATCGCTCACTCAGCTTTTCATTTCTAAATGTAATGAAGTTGCTCTATCATGAGATCATGAAGAGGAAGAGTAACATTAGACCAAGGACAATTCACTTAAGGTGCTATCATCCACTTCCCTGGGTTTTCTCTTACATGTTCTCAAACCCCTTCATGAAAAGTGGTGCTCCTTCCTCTGATGCCAGAGAAGGTATTTCTAGTCTGACATGACATGTACTGGATGAGGCACTTATAAGGTTTATCATAATCTACCAAGTATTGGTCCACCCAGCTAGTAGTTCAGTGATTTACAAGCCTGGCTGCTAACCTGAAGTTCAGCAGTTCAAAACTACTAGCCATTACGTGGGAGATAGATGAGGCTTTCTGCTCCCGTAAAGATTTACAGCCTTGGAAAACTCTCTGCTGGGTTGCTGTGAGTGAGAACCAACTCCACTGGCACACCATTGCCACTATCTGAATAAACTTTAAGCTAAAAATCTTACTAGAAAATATTTTGAGATTCCCAGATTTCATTTTATTTCAAGTGATCTATTGTAAGGGAATATATATATATATATATATATATGAAAAGGAGCTCTGGTAGTGTAGTGGTTACTAATCGGGCTGCGAACCGCAAGGTCAGCAGTTCAAAACTACTAGCTGTTCCATGGGAGAAAGATGAGGCTTTCTGCTCCCGTAAAGATTTACAGCCTTGGAAACCCTGTACAGGGTTGCTATGAGTTGAACAGAGACTCCACAGCACATAACAATAACATTATAAAGGAAACTATACAATTACTCATAAAAAGTGACTCTTAACTATAGGTGATTTGCCTTTGAGAGATGTAGAAATGTTAAGATATTTTTGGTTGTCACAAGTGGAGTGGTGGTGGTGCCCAGTTCTGCACCAAACTCACAATTATTTCTCTGCTTGAGCCAATTTTTGTTGCCATTGTGCCAGTCCATCTCATTGAAGGTCGTCGGGTTTCACTGCCCTTCCACTTTATCAAGCATGATGTCCTCCAGGGACTAGTCTATCCTGATAATATGTCCGAAGTATGAGAGACGAAGTCTGGCCATCTTAGCTTTTGAGGAGCATACTGGTTGTACTACTTACAACACAGATTCATTTGATCTTTTGGTGGTCCATGGTACTTTTAATATTCTCCAACACCATAACTCAAATGCATCAATTCTTACATAATCAATTGTCTTTTTATCATTGTCCAGTTTTCCCATGCATATAAGGTTACTGAAAATACCTTGGCTTGGGTCAGACACACCTTTGTTCTCACACTGACATTTTTGCTCTTGAGCAAATGCAGTAGCACAGGGAATGTTACTTTAGGCATCTAGTGGGTAGAGGCTAAAGATTTTGTTGAACATCCTATTGAACTTGTAAGCCCATGAGTCATAGCCCACAAAGCCTAGAATGTTTACCAATCCCACCTCTAACCTATATCCTCTTTTTCCCTTTTAATCAGCTTTTGCTGGAAGCCATTGGAACTCAACTTTTCCATTGCCTCCCACCATTTTTCCCATAATTTAACTGCAGCCATCTCTAATCCTTTCCCTTCCTCTAGTAATACTATTCACTCAAGATTGGTCATTTCCCTGTGCTGATGGCTCTGGCATTTATAATTAACTAAAACTCTAGTCCAATTTCTAGACCCTCTGTTAGACATGGAGTTCTGGTGTGGTATAATGCACTGGATGCAAGGTCAATTTTAATCGCAAACTCAGCAGTTCAAATTTACCAGCTGCTCCTTGGAAACCCTTTACAGGGTTGCTAATGAGTCAGAACCAGCTCAGCAGCACTTGACAACTACTAGACATAATGGCCTGGGTAGTACTCAGACATTTCCAAATTAAGGAATTGCCATTTGAGTATTTTACTTATGAAGTCACTCATTTATGAAACAACTGACGTCAAATTGACCATAGTGTACCTTCAGTCTTACTTAAAGCCTAACCTTCAGCCTCTTTACATTGAGTCTTTGGACAGTAGATATTCTCAAACACATCAGAGAATTCCCATCTCCTTGATTTTATGCTTTTTAAGGAGCTCTGGTAGCGTAGTGGTTACGAATTGCGCTGCTAACCTCAGGGTCAGCAGTTCGAAACTACCAGCTGCTCCGTGGGAGAAAGATGAGTCTTTCTACTCCCTTAAAGATTTACAGCCTCGGAAACCCTGTACAGGGTCACTAAATCGGAACCACCTCCATGGTACATGACAACAACATTCCCTTTTTACCTATAAATGCCCTTACCTGCGTTAGAAACTCTTCAAAAGCCCAATGCATATCTCATCTTTGTCCCTAACCTCTCCAGACAGAATTAATTGCTCATTTCCTTACATAAAAGACCAGGTATCAAAAGCATTCAATCCTGCTAAACCAGCAATCTCAAACTACCACCTGCTCCTCAGAAACTCTATATGGGGTCGCTATGAGTTGGAACTGACTCAGCAGCACTTAACAATTGTGCTGTAGGATAAGTGCTGGACCACACAGTCGGTTGGAACCACAAGGTCAGTGGTTCGAACTCAGCAGATGCTCCTTAGAAACCCTACACTGGGTCGCTGTGAGTCGGAATCAACTCGACAGCACTTAACTAAACTGTATTATAAAGTTCTTGAACTGAGGTGAATGTAGTAAATACGTTTGCAAAAAAAATCTTAGTGTTTTAAATATTGGCAGCAGTATCAAAATAGTCTAACACCCCAAAATGATTTAAGAACAACATTTATATGAGTGTATAAATTCTAGGGTGGCCATTAAATGTCATAGACTAACAACAGCTGGAGTCCTGGTGTGGCGCTGTAGGATAAGCACTGGACTGCTAACCACAAGGTCAGCAGTTCAATACCCCTAAGCCGCTTCTTAGAAACCCTATACAGGGTCACTATGAGTCGGAAACAACAGAACTTAACAGCTGGGAAGGTTTTCTGAGGTAAGGACTTGGGCTTTGTAGCATTTTAATTCTGGCCCCACAATATTTTTGCAAGTAGTATATGGACCTGAAGTTTCTTTAAATCATAAAACCTTATTTTGAAAATTGATTTAATTTTCTAAACTTTCAGTCATTTAATGAAGTCTCGTTTTTTGCTTTGCTGTATTAAGATCCCATGTATAAATCAAAGCAAACCAAACACACTGCCAAGCTGATTCCAACTCCTAGCAGCCCTGTAAGACAGCAGAACTGCTCCTTAGGGTTTCAGCTTTCTCCTGCGGAGCAGCTGATGGCTTTGAACTGTTGACCTGGTGGTTATCACCAGGTCAATAGTTACCCACAGTGCTACCAGATCTCCTTTATGTGTACCAAGATTCAGTGTCATTGAGTCAGTTCTGACTCATAGTGACCCTCTTTAGGGATTCTAAGGCTGTAAATACTTAGGGGGACAGTGCAGCTGATGGGTTTGAACTGCAGACCTTGTAAGTTAGTAATCTGGTGCTTATCCTGCAGTGCCACCAAAGCTCCTAAGTATAAGGAACTATAAATATGGCTTCCAATGAAAATATTAAGGTTTTCATTTAGAAATTTTGAATAAAGTTTAGAATTCATTGTTTTCTCCATCCCTAAAGTCAGTAGCCATACAGGCCACTCATCCTAAAATTCTGCAGTGGTCTAGATGCCTCTTCTCTATTTGCTTCTCAACTCATTCACAGAGAAACATAAATAAATTTTTTTAAAGTTGATTGTCATTTCATGCTTAAAATGTTTTGATAATCTGCCTTTGCCTTAGGATATCCTAAATCTAAACTCATTTCCGCCTTCCTTACTGCAGTCTCCAGCTTACCTGACCTGCTTTAGAGCTCTTTACTACCTTCTCACCACTTAGTTTCTGTTACCAAAGACCTTCCCTTCTTTCAAAGGATTGCCCTCCCTAGACTCTTACCTTAGTCCATCTCTGTTTTTCTCTATTTAGATAGTCTACCCTACTTTCTGTCTCCCAACCCCCTAGTAATTTCAAGTCTCTACTTAGAAGTCACTTCCAGGAAGTCTTCCCTGGCACCCCCAGTTTTAGATACGCATCCCTTTCCATCCAGAGAGTCTCTAGAGCCAGTTAGAACTGCCACTGCTTTCAACTAACAAGACTATTGTCGCTTTAGAATTGATGCTCATTTTAATCTAAAAGTCTGCCATGTAGCCTGCTCTTACCACACCATACCAGTAGCTTCCATGTCGATTCAGTCTCCTGGATATTAGGGTGGAACTTTGTTGAATTTTCAACTTCTTGATTTTTTGGAGCTCTCTGAGTGTACATGAACCTCCAGCCTTCTTGATTAGCAGTTGAGCCTCTACACCTGCCTCAGATTACATTCATCCGAAAGATTCTGCATAGGCATGGGATTGGTATACCCTACCTCCAAGATTTCCTGGGAAACTCAAAAGTTATTCTGTTGAATCGTAGAGTCCTGGTCTGGTGCTGCTGGACTGCAAGGTCAGTTTGAATAGCAAGATCAGTGGTCCAAGCTTACCAGACACACCTCGGAAACTCTATACAGGGTTGCTATGAGTCGGAACCGACTCCACGCACATAAAATGTTAAATCTAAATTTGCCTTCTTTATAACTGCTTATTCTTGTTTAGCTTTCTGAAACAGCTGTTTAACTCTTGTGGGGAATGGTTTTTTGGAATGCTAGAAATCAAGGGATTGGTCAGAGACGTCTTGGGTATTGACTATTTTCTAACATCCTTGAGATGTGACCTCAGTGAAAGAGGGTTCATTTCAGGAACCATGAGAACCTAGTGTTGGTTCTGCTAGTTCCACATCCTTGACTTAATAAATCTGGCACTTAATGTACTCAATGCGTGTGAGTGTGTTAGTGTGTATCTGTCCAGGTGACCCCTCTTCTCAGCATCACAAAACAAACTTCTGATAGCCCACTATCTAAAGATGGTTATTATTCATTCTTTTTAGCTTGTCTCAACTTTAGAATCTGACATGGTTTCAGATGCTATCTTTTCCCTTGAGGCATAGTTTTAATTTATCAGTATTGCTCTCTATAATTTACTGCCCATGTAACATTGCATTATTATCCTCCCTTGTCTTTAAAAGAGTAATTAATGATCGATTTTTAGCTCTAGAAAAATCTAGAATTCATTTAACATTACCTAGAATTATTTAGAATATACAGTTTTAATAAGCCAATGTAAATCTCTTTTAGGACAGTTATATGATGGCTATGATGAAGAGTATGATTGTCCCATTTTAGATGAAGATAGAGTAAGTATGATGAATTAATAAAGTATGCATTTGTTGTGTTTATTGTATTTTAACTGTCACAAGTTGCCCCTGACTCATGGCAACCTGGGTACCAGAGAATGGAATGTGTAAGTACATTGGCTGGGAATTGATACCAGATCTCCCAAATGAAAGGCAAGACTAGTCTGCAGAACCACCGGTTAAACCTCCATATTTTTAAGGATTTTTTTTTTTTCAAAACATTTCTAACAGGTCGTTGATGAGTTAGAAAACCAAATGAAAGAAGGTGGCGTGATTGTTGATTACCATGGTTGTGACTTCTTCCCTGAACGCTGGTTTCATATCATTTTTGTGCTGAGAACAGATAACAGCATACTATACAAAAGACTTGAAACAAGGTAAGAAAAAAAAAATTAGGAAATCATAGTGCAAGCTTTAAGTAAGATTCTAGATGTTGGTCAGTTGTACCCTGATAGTTCTATTTTGAAAATGTGCTTTTTACATATTTGGTCAAAAAGAAACCTGCACCCATTGGCAGTCACTCTCCGTTTCCTTCACATCATCCTTCTCCCTCCTTCCCC